AATAAGCTTCAAGATCAAGACCCCCTGCGCCGGAAGATAGAGGCCTTGTCCTGGAGACTGTTTCAGATACCGGAGGATGCGAAAAGCGGCATCCATGTGAGCCTGAGTAGGCGAGTGCACGAACCTGCTCAGAATATTAACACCATACGTAATGTCCGGCCGGGTGACCGTGAGATACTGCAATCTGCCAATGAGACGTCGATAAGAAGACCCATCAATGAGCGGCTCGGACACACCTGCTTTAGTTAACTGATGATTCTGCTCTACTGGAAAAGCACTGGGACGAGCAGCCTGAACCCCGGCTTCCTCGAGAATATCGAGAACATACTTCCGCTGACTGAGAATAAGTCCTTGGGGAGAACGGGCAACCTCGATGCCAAGGAAGTAGCGCATCGGCCCCAAGTCCTTAATACTGAACTGACGATCAAGGAAGGCCTTCACGCGCGAAATGAAGTCAAGATCATTTCCTGTAAGAAGAACATCATCAACATATATCAAAGCAGCAACAAAGGTGGCGCCATGCTGATAGATGAACAAAGAATGGTCGGCTGGTGAAGACCGAAAACCCATTTCACAGAGAGCTGCAGTGAACTTTTGATACCAATTCCGTGACGCCTGCCGTAACCCATAGATGGACTTGTGTAACTTACACACACGATGATCACCTGGTGCTGCAAACCCAGGGGGAATACGCATATACACCTCTTCTTCCAAGTCTCCGTGTAAGAATGCGTTATTGACATCAAGCTGGTGCAGAAACCAGCCGCGATTGATAGCAACTGTGAGCAGACAGCGAAGAGTGACAAGCTTGGCCACAGGTGCGAATGTATCGTGAAAATCTACGCCTTCGACCTGCGTAAAACCCTTTGCGACCAGCCGCGCTTTGTAACGCTCAATTGAGCCATCCGGCCTGTATTTAATTTTGAACACCCACTTCGAATCAACAATGCGACGATTGGGAGGAGGATCAACAAGAGTCCATGTCTTGTTTTGTTCAAGAGCTGCTATTTCAGCAGCCATAGCCGCGCGCCAACAAGCTTGGCGGAACGCTTGATTGAAGGTACGGGGCTCATCTTCTTTAGACACAGCTGCAAGAAAAGCCCGGTAGTGTTTTGAAACATTAGCATAAGAAACATAGTTGGCCAGCGGGTACCTGATGTTAGCTGCGCCAGCGAACTCGGTCTCATGATCATCAAAGCGCTTTGGCCGAGAGCGGTGGCGGTCACTACGCCGCAAGACTGGAACGGCCTCATCTTCTACGGCGGGCTGGTCCAGCTGACTAGAGGGGGTAGCACGAGCTGGCCCATGATCCACAGAGGGGCGCTCCACCGACTCGAGACCCGATCCAGTTGGCGGTGGCAGCGGACTGGACCGCGACGGACTGGGCCGCGGATTGGGAGATGGACGGGGTCCTGACGACAGGGGCGACTCACTTGGCCCACTTGCAGGGGCGGACGACGGAGCTGGCCCATTCGGCCCACTCAGCCCGTTCGCAGGGACGGACGAGCTGGGGAAATCTTCCAAGGGCGATTCGCAAGCTGGCCCTTCCTCTGGTCGGGAATCATCGTCGAAGACGGCAGGAGATAGCCAATGGTATTCATTGGGGTCCTGCGCACGGAACGGGAAATGAGTCTCATGAAAAACAACATCACGAGAGACCAGTACCTTTTGAGTGTCAAGATCGAAGAGGCGATAGCCCTTCTGGGTCGCTGCATAGCCCAGGAAGACGCAGGCACGCCCCCGTTCGGCGAACTTGTGGATATGTTTGTGATTATCCTTTGCATAGGCAAGACAGCCAAAAACCCGAAGATGATCATAACGAGCTGACCGATTAAACAGAACCTCGAACGGAGTTTTACCAGTTGCCGAGGTTGGAAGGCGATTGAGAAGATAGACTGCAGTGAGTATGCATTCTCCCCAGAATCGCAAAGGTAGGCCAGCGTGGAACCGTAGTGCTCGAGCGGTGTCGAGAATGTGATGATGCTTTCGCTCCACAACGCCATTCTGCTGTGGCGTATCTGTGCAGCTGGTTTGCAACACAATGCCTGATCGGTCATAGAAATCAAGCAGAGCATTGCTCTGAAATTCTGCACCGTTATCCGCCTGTATACGGCGTACCTGCCTGCCAAATTGTGTCCTGACCATTTCGCAGAACATAGATATAAAACGAGCTACATCAGATTTGAACTTGAGTAAATAAACCCAAACCCCACGACTGTAATCATCTACAATGGTGAGAAAACAATAAGCACCGCTGAGTGAAGCCTGTCTGTAAGGGCCCCAAATATCCATATGAACTAAATCAAAACATCATGTAGTTTTAATGGAACTAGAGGAAAAAGGCAAGCGACTCTGTTTAGCCCTTGAGCAGGGGTGACAAGGACTCAAAGGTCTGCTAATAGACAAACAAATAGTGGAACCAAGCTGTGACAAAAGTTCCAAAGATGGATGACCAAGGCGCTCATGCCACCGTTCCTGTGCAACACGTCCGGCACTCCCCGCAGCAAACACAAAACACTCGTGACTTTCGAACAACTACAAGTAATAGAGACCATCACGCAATTCACCCTTCCCAATCGCTTTCCTGGAGTGTAAGTCCTGAAGGATGCACATATCACGCATAAATATTAATGCAACATCATTATCTTGAGTTAACCGACTTACCGACAACAGGTTACAGCGAAACTGTGGGACATGCAGAACACGTTCGAGATTAAGCCTCGTGGGCAGCCGAACTGTGCCAACCTGCTTTACTGGCACTTGCTCACCGTTTGGCAGCCGAACGGGTTGACTCCCCATACGAGAAACCGTATCACAAAACAACGATGAATCGGTGGTGATATGCTCGTTGCACCCCGAGTCAATTAACCATTCAGGAGAGTCAAGGAAAGTACCTGCCATGCTAGCTGAAGGATCATCGGCAGGTTTGGAGTGATCAAAGAACTTCTTCAGCTGCTCTAACTGCTGCATCGTGAAGCCTGGAACCGGACTCGTGTCGCCCTCAACCTGGGACGCACGCGGATGCCCATCTCGCGTACCGCGCCGGGGTCGTCTCTCCCCACGATCTGATGTGCCTTGCTTGTCACGGGGAGGCCACCCAATAATCTCGTAACAAGCTTCCTTGAGATGGCCCGGCTTGCCGCAGTGTGTGCATCGGATCCGAGGCCTAGCAGCAGTGTCACCTCGAGAGTCAGGTGACGCATCGTCCGATCGTGAGCGTCCGGACTCGCTGCGGGATGGGCGAGGGTTGTGGTCACGACCAGAATCCCCTTTTGTGTCTCCGTGCGAAGCGAAAGCGGCCGCCTCGGACCCAGGACGTCGACGCTGCGCCAGCAGGCGCTGCTTCTCGTCATTGGAAACAATATTAAAAGCTTCAGCTAGGGACGGCGGAGGTTTCATAGCCAAAATTTGGCTTCTGACAGTACTGAAACTCTCGTCCAGCCCCATAAGAAAATCAAGCAACCGAGTACAGTCTTCGCGATCGCGTGTCCGACGTTCTAGATCGCATTTACATTGGCCGCACGTGCATCGCTCGGGCGGATAGATCGACTGTGCTTCTTCCCAGTAGTTCTTCAATTGTGTGTAAAAAGCAGACACACTATGCTTCTCCTGCCATAGACCAGCAGTGAGGCGGCGAAGCTCATAGCTTCTTGTCAGAGTGCCTTGGCCAAACCTCTCTTTCAAATCCAGCCATATCTCCCTTGATGTTTTAGCGTACCGAACGCTGCTGCGAACTTCTTTGTTCATAGATGTGCGCAGCCAGCCTTTAACTACCGCATCACAGCGACTCCAAGGCCCATTCTCGGGCTCATCTACTGGTTTGGGAATAGTCCCATCGACAAATCCAAACTTGTTTTTGACGATGAGTGAGTCGGTCATATCGACGACCCACTCTCCATAATTGGTGGGGGTAAGAACTTCCCCAACTGACAGCTGCTGTCCCGTGGTGTCCGACGGGTGAAGGTACAGCGCTGACGAAGGATCCATGACAGTCGATGGTCCAGACGACCCGCTGCCGAAATTGATGATCTTCTTGCCGTCGGCGGTGGTGTTCTTTGACTCTTCAGAATCACTCATGTCGACGCAAGGATTGAAAAAGAGCAAGCCCTAGAATCGGCGCTCTGATACCATGATAAGTTTGTGTTGTGCGAGAGCAAGGAAACAAAAGGAACACAGAGTTTACGTGGTATCCCCGATGATCGGGACTAGTCCACGGGAGAGAGAAGTCTCTCCAGCTACTGATCTTATTGATGATTAGGTTACACTGCCAATAGGCATTACAGGTCTACTTATACTCAAAGATACAGCAGCTAGGTTAAGTTCTATGCTACGTGGGAATGGTCTCATGACCATGCAACAGGCAGCCGCGGATCCTTCACTATGGGCTGTCTCTCCAACAGACTCGGCCCGTGACTTGGGCTGAGACTCGAGCTGGCCCAATATTAATGGCCCATGAAAGCCCATGCACTAGGGTGGCACGTTGATGTAGAGCTTGCCCTAGAAGGCTCGGCCACAGTAGTATATGTAGCTGGAGATAGCTAGCTGTTAGGGGTATTCTGTTAGCCGTTTAAAATCAGATCTCAGTAAAATCAGTAGCTAGAAAGAGGGTATTCTGTTAGCCGTTTAAAATCAGATCTCAGTAAAATCAGTAGCTAGAAGAGCTTTCGCTCTTCCGTGGATTAGTCCTGGTTATCCAGGGATACCACGTAAATCCGGTGTTCAGTTTCTGTTTTCGATTTATTGAATCTTCTTATCAGTTTGCTATCACTTGTTGTCAACCTTTTTTGGATAGATAGAAAAGAAAGCCCACGATCCGCCAGCATCCACCTTAGACTACACCTGCTGGCTGGTAATTTAGCATATCACATTTCAAGATCAGATTGCCTCTCTCCCAACTCTCAATCATCTTCATCATCACCACCTTCTTCTCCTTCCTATATCTTATTCCTCATCTGTTCCGTCATTTTCAGTTAGGCTGCCAGTTGAGTTGGGTCCTTCCTTCCTCCACCAAGCCAAAACGAGAGCTCTCTCTGTTCCTCTCCCGTCTCTTTCCCCCCGCCCAAAAATCTCATCTCCCAATCTTAGTTGGCTCCCACTTTTCCATTCCCAGCTCCAAATACCCAAAAGAAGAAGCCAATTTCCACCTTCACTTCATCCCTATTCCGGGTTCCCTTCTTCCTTTTCTGGACTGGAGGGTCACTCTATTTTTTTTTTATAACTTACTCTGCCCCTAAATTCCCCATTCATTAACCAAAACCGAAGCTTCCAAGTTTAACTTTGAGCGCGGCTTTACTGCCTTAATTACTCCATTTACGCATTTATTTTCTTGCTTTCTCCCCATTTAATAATTCACGCTCTCCTATATAATAACATTCCATGGCCATGAATGTTATTATTATTATCTCCTCCTTGTACATCCATTAACGGAGTAATCCCCTGTTTTTTCCCCCCTTTCAATCCTCCTCCAATACGAGCTCTCCTCTCTCCCCCCGAATTGAATTCTGTAAAGATGATGGGATTGACATTAGCTCATTATGGTTACTCGGTCTCTTTTACCGTCGTGGTGGTTCTTCTCCTGCTGCCGCGCTTTTGCTCGGCCGACGACGACGAAAGGCTCATGGTGCCCATGACTCTGGTCCGCGACGCCGACGATGCCGGCGCCGGTATATGCTTATACATATACATGATTGTTGTCGTATCTCATTGTTGTGGTGAGCTCCATGAATTAAATTGGGGAGTGGATTGGGGGTTTTGGCAGTTTGCTTGGACGGGAGCTTGCCTGCGTATCATCTCCGCCGAGGTTCCGGCGCTGGAGCTACCAATTGGCTTTTGCAGTTCGAGGTAACCTTACCCGCCCAGATATACTTTAAATTATTTATGAAAATACATTAAATCACATATTCTTTTGGATTAAATATGAAAAAGAAACCAATATTCAAATTTTGACAGAAGTACAGTCGCTAGCCTTCGATCTCGGTGTTTTCAGTCTTTATTAGAACTATAAGTTGAAAATTATGGACTAGGCACTATAAATTCTCATCCAAATGTTAATAATTTCATGTCATTATGTGTGCAAGCAACTGCGAGCAATCTATGGTCTCATTCCTAATCACGGCTCGCATAATCGTTTTAAATAACGATTTTTAGGACAATTAAATGTGTTCATTCTAATTTAATTTTGGTTTCTTGTGCTGACTACTTGTGAATTTGTTTAATTCTTTTGGTTTCTTGTGTTGACTAATTGGTTCATTTGGTTGATTTGTGAATTGCATCATAAATTCATAATAATGCTTTACCCCTACATAGGACAAATCAAATTCTAATTAGGTTGTCGGGTAACTGACGTCGTTTCCCGCCTTGTTAGTTGTTACTATGTGACGTGTATAGCAAACAACCGGCCCCTAACAAGTTGCCAAGCAAATTGCCATGCGTTCCCAAAAATAAAAGAACAGAGCTTTACCATTTCAACAGACAAAAGAAAAGGCCTTCTGAGGTTCTGGTGAGGCTCAAAGATATTCTTTTTTAAAAAGGATACATAAAAAGAAAAAGATATAAAAAAAAAATATTAAAGCCCAACCCAAAAACAAACCCCAGTTGCCAACCTATAACTTTCCTCGAACGGCCTTTTCCTCTTTGGTAGTTTGGTGGCCCTTCTGTTTATATCCCACGCTTTCACCATACGCAATCCAAAAGTCTTGTTTAGTCAGTAACTAGAAAAAGTTGCCCTCTCAAAGATCGAATCTGTTGTATTGTTAGTTCTTTTTCAGTCCTTTTCTTCAATCTTGGAAATGGGCATTCTTCTTCATTGGCGTTGGCCTGGCCTTTCGAAAGGGAAAGAACATCGAACCTTGATCATGATAGAGACCTCCTACCATGCGTTGAAGTTACTATAACTTGACGTTTTTTACCTGTTATAGCAGGTTTTATAGGTCGCGTTACGTAAAACTAATGTTTATTACGTAACAATTACGTAATGCTTTTTAGTCTTACGTAACAGTTAAAATAGAAGCGTTACGGAAGGTTTCCGTAACGACTTATCATTTTACGTAACGCTAGATTAATATTCATTACGCAAAAGCATCGTCTATTACATAAGGCTTCCGTAGTGACATTTTAAAACTGTTACATAAAATACACGCTCATTACGTAAAGGTTACGTAACGAAGGTTATTTCTTACGTAACAGTTAAATTAGAAGTGTTATGTAAGACTTCCGTAATGACTTACCACATTACGTAACTTGATTAATATCATTACGTAAAAGGACCATCCATTACGTAAGGCTTCCGTAATGCCACTTTGCAACTGTTACGTAAAGTATGCATCTATTACGTAAAGGTTACGTAACGATAGTTATTTCTTACGTAACAGTTAAATTAGAAGTGTTACGTAAGCCTTTCGTAATGATTCAACAGATTACGTAACGAAAGGTTAATATTCATTACGTAAAATGAGTGTCTATTACGTAAGGTTTCCGTAATGACATTTTTCAACTATTACGTAAGATAAACACACATTACGTAACCATTACGTAATGTCTATTGTATTTTACGTAATGCAACTTGTGAAACCTGTTATAGCAGGTAAAAAACATCAAATTACCATAACTTCAAGGTATTGTAAGAATTTCCTATAGTTTAGAGTGTATGTTTTCCTTTTTTTTTATAAAGGGAAAGTACATCCAACCTTGATAGTTTACTGTGTTTGTGTTTCATTAAAGGGAAAGAACATCGAACCTGATCATGATAGTGTGTAATTAAGAATATGCTTGTTTTCCTTTTCATATAGGGAGGCGGGTGGTGCAACGACGTGGATTCGTGCCTGATCAGAGCAGGAACACGGCGGGGATCCACCACACTGATGAACAAGCAAGAAGTCTTTTCTGGCATCTTGAGCAACAATGTTTCTCTTAACCCAGGTACATTACCTCCCTTATCTCTACACTAAATTTGATTCAATTGTCAATATTCCAATCAATATTTAATACAACATATACAAAATTTTGTGAAATTGTACGCATTGAATCACATGATATCGTGATTTTATTTGAATGGGCCAAAGCAGCCGTGAACAATTTTCCTATGCAATATATATTTCTATCTAGGTTTTAGTTTAAGTAGCGAAGTCGGAAATTTAAATAAGGGAAGCTTATTTAAATTTTGACAATTGAGGTTAAAGTCTTACTAATTATTCTAAATCCTTTATCGATACAAAATGTATATATAATTTTATCTATATTTTAAAGTTTAGAGGCGCTATAGCCTCTTACAACTGCAACCTAACTACTCCCCTATATAGTTTTATGTTCAAAATTCAACTTTGAAGTTGGCCATGAATTCCAATTTTTGTACTTGTTATGGGGCGAACATGCAATGTTCTACTGTTGATACTTTTGTCACGTGCATTCACGTGATTGATGATTTAACGGCAATGCCAAAAAATATATTCACAAGACTTTGTCAGAAGGGAAAATGATTGCCGGCAGGGCAGACAGAAACGTCTGGCATCTTCCTCCAAACCTTCTGGCACTGGCTCTTTTGCGTCGCTAATTTACCCGTCGTTTGGTTATTGAATTTCAAAGTGAAGAGTTTGAGTTTTGAATTGTTTGGATTATTAGGAATTTGTTGTATTATGAATTTAAATTTTTTCCATTATTTGTGTAATTGGGTTTTTTTAGGGCAATGTCTATATTTTACCCAAACCTTTTTCATATTCTTTTATTTTAATCAAACCTATAGAAATTCTATTTATTATCCAAACGTATTATAATTTATCAAAGTCTGAGCATTCATTCTGTTACCGTTACTTATTTCGTCCACGTGAGGGGTGGGATTTTGTTTTGTTTTTTTATAATCTTTTTATTAAAAATAGTAAATGATGGTATTCTGACCGCCATGTAGGAAGTCAACTCATTATGGTCATACTTAGTCAGCATTACTAACAGAAAAGTTGACGGAGAGTTAACGTTTGGATAATTTTTAGGAATTCTATAGATTTGGTTAAAATAAAAGAATCTAAAAAAGGTTTGGGTAAAAACTAGACATTACCCTTTTTTTTTTATCATTGAATGTATTACTTTTTGCATCATAGGTCTGGTAAATTTACCTTTCATCAATCAAACTCCAAATACAATGTGTGATATACAAATTCCTAGAATTCACGGATTTGGATTTAAAATTTTCAAATCCATGGGACTTATCGATTTGTGTTGCATTTTTTGGAGGAAAGGATGTGTTCCAGTTTTTTTTACCTCGATAAACAATGGAGTTGTTCAAATTCATGGTGCTTGAAATTTGAGTACCAAATCTATCAAACACATTCCATAAAAAAATCACTTTTTTTTTTTACAAAACCATAAACAAATCACCCTGTACATACAATTTACCAGCTTGGGGATGGCGAGGGAAAATTTGCAGTCCTCATTCTATTTATTCAACAATATGAAAATAAATTTATCTGGGGCTCTTTTTTGTTAGAATTAATCTCAAGCTCTAATACGTTTTAAATGCGCATCATGCTAAAAACAGAAAACCCTCTTGGAGAGAAATCCTTTGATATGAAATTCCTAGATTCTCTCATATACAAAAAAAAAAAAAAAAAACACCAACAAATGTTTAGTCTAACAACAGCATTATTGAATTATAATTTGGAGGTCTTAACTTTGAACCACAAGGTGAACTCAACTTCTCATTTCCCCTACAAACCCCATTCAATAACATGTAAAGAAAAATATGAACCAATGATTGGAATAAACAAATCAATTAATTAACAAGAAACATCAAATTGGAGTGCAACATGGGTCAAACAGTCAACTATGAACAAAGTAATTACGCCTTAATTAAGGTAGTAACGCATCCTTTTTTTGTTGGCTTAATTATCATCAGACTTTTACAATTGGAACCGGGTGAAGCTTAGATACTGCGACGGAGCCTCCTTCACCGGAGATTCCCAGTTTCGCAACGAGGTAACTAACACTACTTAATTGACTCTTTACTATCTCTGTAATTAACAATTACCATAATCAACGTTCTTACTTCTCAATCATTTTGCCTGAATTACCAGTCATCGGTTCTTTACTTCAGAGGGCAGAGGATTTGGGATGCCATCATCACCGATCTCCTCCCCAAAGGCCTGGCCGACGCGAGCAAGGTAATTAATAAAAAAAAATCTACCCAGGCCAAAATAATTACTAGCTCTCACTCACTGTAGTTTTTACCCCTTTTTTACGGTCCGACCGCTCGTCCCTCCTGATCTGTAGGCACTGCTTTCCGGTTGCTCTGCTGGTGGATTGTCAGTTTTTCACCACTGCGATGATTTCTCCAGGAAGTTACCCAACGCCACGGTAAAATGCCTGACTGACGCTGGATTCTTCCTGGACGCGTAAGCACTACCATTAATTCACATATATATGCATGATTCTTACACATGCAAAAACGAAAACGGAAAAACAGAGTACGATAATTTAATTTCTCTACAGGAAAGACATATCTTCAAATTATACCATGAGGACCTTCTACGAGGATCTGGTCACGCTTCAGGGGTCAGAGAAGAATCTGAATGAGGACTGCAAAGCTTCCCTCGCCAACCCCAAGCTGGTAATTTTTTTTCTTGTTTTTTTGGTTGCTTAAACTGTAATTACAGAAAGATTAACATGATTTTTTCTGGTAATTAAATTCTAATTGTTTCCTGCTGTTTTTTTTTTTTTGTTTTGTCGCCGTGGCTGTTAGTGCTTCTTCCCGCAGTACGCTCTGAGATACATCACAGCACCGTTCTTCCTCTTGAATTCAGCTTATGACGTGTACCAGGTAAATCTCATCTCTAGTAAATTATTAAATCCCATTCCTCAAGGGCAATTTTAGTCCTCGAATCGGGAAGTCAGCTTGAGTTGTAACAAAAAAATGGGCATGTGCAAATATATATGCAGATAAACCACATATTGGTCCCGCCTTCTGCGGATGTGCAGGGACTCTGGAACAATTGCAAGACCCAATTGTCAGAGTGCAGCACTGCTCAGATTAACCTCTTGCAAGGTCAGTTTGCTTTCCCGTGCATGCATCCATTCACCACATAGATTGATATGGAGTGGTTGAAAGATGTTTAAATGAAAACAAGTACTAGATTCGCTTATACAAACGATTTATTATCAAAATGAAAACTCATATGTTGTACTGATTACAATTTGGGATTAATTACGATTTAGATGAAATTATATTATGCATGTGATATTTAAATCGTGTTTTTCTTTATATATGATAGGTGAAAATTTACCATAACATAACACTTTATCCATAATAAAGTCATTGTTATCAAGGGAATCTTTAACCATATGAAGTGCAAAAATGTTATGTAAAGAGCTGTAGTTCATTCTAAAATTTCAGGATTCAGGCGAGAGATGTTGCGAGCAATGTTATTTGTTTACAGAGGTTCAAGTAGAGACGGGATGTTCATAAACTCATGCTTCTCTCATTGTCAGAGTGAGTTGCAACCCACATGGCTTACTCTTGAGTCGCCCACTATACACAACAAGGTTCACCAATCTTATTCATTTTTTGTTTTTTGTTTTGACACCATATTAAATATTTTAGTAGAATGAAGGTAACATTTGCGAGGTTGATTGGGTTTTGCGCAGACAATAGCAGAGGCTGTTGGTGACTGGTATTTTGGCAGGAATGTAACCAAGTTAATCGACTGCCCTTATCCATGTGATCGACATTGTCATAACCTTATACCTCAGACTGTTCAGAATGATGATTTGTGAAGAAAAAATTGTATTAGATAATACTATGGTAACATATATATAATTCGTTACTCGAAGAGTGTAGATAAAATAGATACACTATATACAAAAACTTTTTTGCCATGGGAGGGTCATCTGTAGGCTTAGCAATTCACCTTAGGGCATGGAAAGGAGAAAAAGGATGCATCTTCAGTAAAAAAATGCAAGAACATCCTTCATAGCTTCCTTCATTTACTAGTAAAATGCTAGAGTTATGAGAGGGTTTTTCGAATTGTTACCATTGTTTCAGATTTTCTGGAGGAATCAAATTCAATTAAGATGATTGTCCTTGTTCTGATTTCTTTAATCATGTAGTAATCTTTTTTTTTTTTTACTTTTGAAAAGTGAAACGGTTATTAGTGAATAATATTCATGCTAATTGCTATATTATAATGTTCATAGAGCTGGTAGATAGGCGTATGTCTAAGGTTCAAGAAGGCGGCAGGGTAAGTCTGGAGTTGAGGACTTATTTAGTGCCTAGCTCATCTAGGCATGTCTAAACGTGTCCAGGTGTTTAAAGAAAAAAAATAATGTTATAAACGCGCTGCTACGGATCGAGAAATCGTCGGAATCGACAAAGCAAGAATACGAAAGCGAGAATCGAAAACAAGACACACGATTTACGTGGTTCACTAACATGATGTGTGTTAGCTACGTCCACGGGCGAGAGAGAGCCAATTTCACTATATCGAGGAGATTACAGATTACAGAGGAGTATGAGAAGTAATAGTACTTCTCCATGTGGGTCTAAACCTAATCCAATATGGCAAAGGAAACGGTTACAGACCAGGCCCAGAACCAGAACCCGAATAACATTGAGCCCATACACCCCCGATTACCAGTCGTAGCGGCTGATAGTCCGATTCAAGTCACATCAACAAGTAATCTGGACAATATATCATTTAATAACAAGCAAAATAACTCACAGGTTCATACAATCATATCTCAATAGCTCACAAAGTTTTTTAGTTATATTGAAAGATTGAGTTCATAGATGTTGTTAGTTGGGCCTTTAATATTGATTTCCTAGATCCATTTAATCAGGCTTCGGAAACACCTAGGTGTCACCTTACTTTGTCAATGTATTCTCGATACCTAACTAGCTGGAACCCCTAGGCGTGAGACATTTTAGTGTTGCCTATCGCCTAGATGTGCCTAAGCATAAGGTTAAACACACCTTTTTGAACCATGGTTTGTCATGGCCAAAATATAGTGATGGCAATGGGGCCAAGTGGGTACCTCAGTACTGACTCGTTAAAACACACACCAAACTACGACCAAGTATAATCGCAGTATGGAAATGGAGTATAGTGGGTTCTGTTTTAAATGTCAACTAGATTCCTAGATTTAATGTCTACTCCGTGAACTTCTGTTATCTAGCAGTAAAATTTGAGTGAAATTTATCAAAAGCAAAAGCAAACAGAAAGCAAGTAACGGTTGTATTCATATTAAGAAGGCTCACTCAGGTATGAGTCCCCCTAGATCGTAGTTAGACCAAGTTGTAATTCACCTAAGTCACTTAGATTGATGCTTAAACTGCGGAAAGTTCTAAAACAGTCTGGAGTCTCGACTAAAGTGCTCCTGACCCTCTCAGTTTGAATACTCGGTGTGCGACTAACCTCAATCGGCGTAAGCTAACTGAGGCAATATGATTCAAACTTCCTCTACTGGGGTCTAATTTAAGATGCTCTATTGACCTATGTAGAGATTATCTTTCTCGTTCAAAGCAGGAACCACTAGAATTCGATCAAGACTCAAGCAAGTCTGAATATATACTTCAATTTGATATAAATCAATCAATCAATCAATCATGGAAAAGGGTTCATACAACTCTTCCTAACATATAATATAGGATTCTTACATACGCAAGTGATAGAGGGGATTACTACATAGAGAGAGAGAGAGAGAGAGAGAGAGAGAGAGAGAGAGGAAAGCTATGTCGAATGCAGTAATCATCATGTAAATGGAAGAAATATGCTCCGGGTTGTCAATTATCACTCCTCGAGGCTTGAATCGAGCTCCAATGGTGAGGATATTTGATTTAGGGCACTCTAGGATCTCTCTTCATCACTTTCTCTCTCTAAACCTTTGTTTTTAGCTCCCAAAATCGAATGAATGAAATTTCATGTGTTCGGCTCGTTAAACCCGACTTCCGCATTCCCGGCGTGATTCCCAGGTCGGGTATTTTGATGCCAGGCCTGGTTTTGCCCAAAACGACGCACAACGATTAGTCGTCAAACGCAGTTCCCCGGTTTTAGGTTAAAGGCCCCGATCAGGGATTTAAGGGTCACAGACAGAGATATCCTTGTACGACCTCCCCGGTCCCCTTTGCAATTCCCCAGTTGGGGGTGAGATGAACTGACCAGGGATTTCAGCCCTCGAGCTCCTCCTTTCATCCACTTAGTGCTTTTGACCCGAAACTCGCCTCCAAGCATGCATAGCCGATCCAAGACTTGAAATACGCCATACAAGAACAACCTATTGTGAAATTGGCTTAAAACACGAGAATCGAGCCTCAAACAGTGTAAGAATGGTGGCAAAAAATATGTGCAAATATCGAGTTATCAAGTACCCATACCCACCTTGAACTAAGTGTGGATCAGAATAGGTAATACCGGGGTAGGACGGGCCGGCTCATTCTTATATGTTATTTTCAAAAAGAACGTCAATATTTAACTCTTTAATAAAAAGACAGAGAAAACACGGAAAAAAATCCCACTGTACACATGTTCTTAAAAAAAATTCCTAAAACATAAGTTATAAAAACATTTCCCAAGGTACACATGTGTGGCATTCACCGGTTTTGACAAACGCACTGAAGAATATCACCGCGTTTGACAAACACGGTGAATATTTCACCGTTTAAAAAAAAACGATGACGTATTCACCGTCTTATTCTAAAACGGTGATATATTCACCGCTTTAAACTAGAACGGTGAAGATATCACCGGTTTAGTAAAAAATGGTGAATTCGTCACCGTATTAGGGCAACACGGTGAATACCTTCACCGTTCTAGGTTAAAACGGTGAGTATTTCACACGTTTCCCACCCCTAGTAGGTGAAAATTAGGTCACAGCTACCTAATGTTCACCGTTTCAGACAAACGCGGTGATGGTGTTCACCGTGTTTGACAAAAACGGTGAATAGTAGGCAGATTTTCCTATAAATACCACACCACCAGCAGTTGTAAAAACATAACCACTCCCCCCTCTTCAAATTTCAGCAACCAAAACCGAGCATAATACACAGAACAGGAATTTTTGGTATGATTTAATTTTCGTATTATAGCTTAATGATGTTTTTAGTAGTTATAGTATGATTTAATTTTTGTATTATAGCCTAATGATGTTTTTAGTAGTTATATTGTTATGTTATGAATTACTTATCGTAGCAATTTTAGTACTTAATTTTTGAATTTATGTTGTTGACAGTTAGTTGAATTTATGTTACGTTAGTTATTAGATGGAGTAATATTATTCGTACAATATGGTTTTGGTTAAATTTACTGTCTTTAAGCTAATAGTTTAACTTATTGTAAATTGTAGATATGGGTAAATTCAAGAAATTTCGGCTTATTATTCGGTGGAATGGAAGGGTGACAAACTCTGACATAGGGATTGATTATGAGGACGGTGAATCCACTATGCTGAAAATTGAGTCGTGATTCAATTTTCAAGAACTCCGTGATATTTGTGCAGACAGGGTTTCTACGAGCGGACAGACGAGACTTGGAAAAATTAGTTACCGGTATCCAGACATGAGTGCTGGCGGGGTTGTGTACCAAGAAGTTGTCATAAACGATGATGACGCGGTTACGATGATGTTACAGTTCCTAAGCGATAACGGGATGCGGCTTGAAGAGGTGTATGTTGAGACCGAGGCGGTCGGTGAAACTCATTCTCACCAGTATACTTATGATGATGGTTTTGCAGGAGAGTACGGATGGGGTGGTAGTTCGAGCAACTACGAAGGCGGTGGTTACACAGGAGGTTACGGAGAGGGTGGTATTTCAAGCAACTACGGTGGAGGTAGTAGTGCAGGATGGGTGCCATCAGAAGAATACTTGCAACCTGATCAACCAGCCCCATTTGTTGAGGCCGATGGCGTTCAATGGCCTGCTTAGGGGCCAGAGTGGTCTGAAATCGAGAATACCATTCGATCAGGGCGTACTTCACATGAGCGAGAAGACGATGTTGGTGATGGTGGTCATGTTGATCCTTCTGGCCCCAGCTATCCATTCGACTCAAGCGACGAGGATACTGAGGAAGATTTGAGATCAATGACAAGGAGTAAGATATTGATGATAATGACGACGAGACGACATTTCGTGAGGCACCCACGCCATACTACACAAAGGTTCCAACTCAATTTCTACATAGTTAGAATGATGCCCCCGACTTTGTCCCTATGCCAGAGTATAATCCGACAGCCAATTTGGAGGTGGGTATGGCGTTCACATCGAAGGACGCTGTGCAGGATGCTTTTACCGAAGAGGCCTTGAGGCGCAATTTCGAGTGGAAGGTAAAATATTCTGACAGTAAACAACTACATGTCATATGCAAGCATGATGCAGAGGGCAGTACGTGGCAACTGCGGGCTGCAAATATGAAGAATAAGGGTGCCTGGGTGATTCGAAAAGTCGAGACGAACCACACTTGCTCCTCGTCCATACTTTCCCAAGATCACAGGCAACTAAAAGCAAAGAAAGTTGGGAGAACTATTAAGCACCTTATCGAAGCACAACCAGATATCAAGGTCAAATCTATCATGGCAAAGGTGAAGGACCGACATTCATACACAATAAGGTACAAAAAAGCATGGGATGGAAAGTAGAAAGCCATGGCTGAGGTGTATGGTGATTGGGAGGATTCGTATGCTTTACTCCCTAGACTTATGGGAGCATTGGAGGAGTCCAATCCTGGGATTGTTTTCGTCCCAGTATACAACAATGTATACACTGAGGATCAAGTTCGAGTACAGGAGAAGTCGATGTTTCACCGTCTTTTTTGGGCTTTTAAACCATGCATTGACGGGTTTGGGTTCTGCATACCGGTTATTCAGGTATTTTACTAACTGGTTACTGTTTGAATGTTGTATCCTTTCCTGTTAAGTATATTTAATACTAAATCATATCCTAAATTTTAATTAGGTTGACGGAACTTTCCTTACTGGGAAGTACAGAGGAACTCTTCTAATTGCCACTGGCGTTGATGGAAACAGGCGGATTTTCCCTATTGCATTTACATTAGTGAAAGGGGAGAACAGCTTAAGTTGGGCATGGTTCTTTGACCAACTACACGAACACGTGACACAGCGGGAGGGTATTACGATTATATTCGATTGACATGCGGGGATTAGGAATGTCGTGGGTGGTTTTCCCGACGAG